GAAAAAAATTGTATAGGTCTTCTGGACGGGTTCTTCTCTAATGAAACGTTTCGTCTCTTCTCCAAGAGACTTCTTCAGTCTGAGAGTTTCAGGCAAAATTCAGGCTTTTAAGCCCTTTGTTTCCCCGATGTATAACTGGTCGCAGTCCTTCTGGCACTCACAATGATAGCCATGTGATGTGAGTATCAGTCACATGGAGGCAGGGCTTAAAAGCCTGAATTTTGCCTGAAACTCTCAGACTGAAGAAGTCTCTTGGAGAAGAGACGAAACGTTTCATTAGAGAAGAACCCGTCCAGAAGACCTATACAATTTTTTTCTTTCCCATCAATAAGATCTGGAAGCAAGAAAACTGCAACTGTTTTTACGTTCCTTTTGCAAAAATTGTATGCACACTTCATGTGTACAAAGAGTATCTGTGCTTGTGTGTCACATGTAAATTATACATTCAGCTAATCTTCCAGCTAGTTTTCCCAGTAGCAGAAAGAGCCTCAGGCTAAAGTGCATCAGCTGCAAATAAGCTTTCTGTTTGACCAAAAATCTCCTCTTCACTCCTTTCCCTTTGCCTTTTTTTTTCCTGATCGGCTCAATGAATATTAAAAACGACTGACAACACTGTCAAAGCAGGAGAAATTCCCTTTCACATCAAACCTGGGACAAAAAGCAGATATTTTCATAGGGGGGATACCCAGCCTAACAAAAAAAACTTTAATATATCCTGGCCCACTCTCTTTTTAGACTGAAATCTCCAAAAACACACTGTGGAACCATTGATATATGTGACTTTCCCTGTTTTACTAGAAATCCGTTTCATCTTTCTCCTCTCTCTTTAGCTGTAGTCTACCTTGCTTTGTCCTTTCTTTTTCTCATGAGGTCATATGCTTCCTTCACCTTTTCCATTTTGAGGTTCTTTAACTCTTTTTTCCTTATTGTTTCCCCCTTTTTTAATTTCATTTTTTATTTCTACTTCCCCCCTCAGCTGAAGACTTCCTCTTCCGATCTTTGTTCTTGTCTTTCTCCCTCATGTTTATCTTGCCCTGTCGCTTTCACTTGTTGTCAGCTCTTTAGGAGAGTTAAAAAGGTGTGAAGAGGGAAATAAGTCCAAGTAAAAAAAAAAAACGCCTTTAGGGGATGAAGGCAGGCCCAGACAAGTGTCTGCCTCTCAGAGGATAGTTAAGACGCCCTGACAGACACTTTCATGATGGCTGATTGAAGACTGGCAAGCGAATAAGTGCACAAGAAAGAGTGCGGGAGTGAATACAAAAAGAGGAAAAAGAAAAAAAAGACAGGAGGGAGAGAAAGAAAAGTCAGAGTACAGAAAGAAGGCTCGAAGAAGAGCCCTCTTTAGGAATCTCTAAGACACAGTTGTGTGGCTCTTGGGGAGATATGAGGGACTTGTCAGGCTTGATGTAAATGAATCCTGAAGAGCTTCATCTTCCTCAGCGAACGCACGCCCTTTTGAAATTCCTCCTTTGTTAGCTTTTACAAACACATTCTCACCATTTTTGCCAATATTTTAAAAATCTACTTTTTATTTATTTTCACTTTTACTCCTTTAATGGCATTAGGACCAAACTTGGTTACCTCCAGAAAAAAACTCTTTTGTAACATACTTGAGAAAGCCACAACCTCTGTAGAAACCAACAGAGAAACCTATTCAATAATTCATTAAAAATAATAAAATGCAACATAATTATTGTCATCCAAGTAAAATTTGCCACACCATAATTTGCATTTGTTTGCAGAATCAAACTTTTGTCCTAGTAATTGTATAATTTCCTTCAATGTAGTTACTTAGACATTCACAATACTGTTGTTTTTGTGCTCTTTGGGAGTTCTCAACATGGCTTTGCTGTGCAAAACTCACCTACTGGCAACGGCACCACCTAAGCCTATCTAAAAGCCAAAAGAAGCCCTCAGTGGAACGCTTTGAGTGATTTGTAGACTGGCATTTTGACTAAAGCTCTTCTCAATTTCCATTCTTCTGCCAAGCTGTGGCTCACTACATAAAAACAGCAGTGTTTCTTTCTCTTGGAAGAAACACTGCTGTTGTAGATGTAGGCCACAGAATTAAAAGGTTGTAAAGAAACAATGGATAAAAGCTATGAAAAGGCTGCTTATCTGCTATACTGTACACTACTCTAACTGTCTTTAAACTTAAAAAAATGTAAAAAAAAAAAAAAAGGAGCTGAATTGTCATGAAATATTACTTTGATAGTATATTTTTCACCTACTTTAAAAATTGATGAACAAAGTTATATTTACATGAAACTGACATGTAAATATTTTTATAACATCAATGCAGAAATCAGGGCTTAGGTGCAAAACATTTGACGTGGAAATCAATATAAAGATTATTGAAAATAAAATGCAATAATCACATATTACTTAAGGTGCCAGTTATTATGGTTATAACTTTTATGTGATTTTAATTGTGACTTTTGAATAAAAAAAAACAAAAAAAAAAAAAAACAAAAAAATGTAGCAGCACAAAAACACAAGTTATGTTTTTTTTATAATTATCATATTTACTTAAATATAAAAGCTGAATTTACAAATAAATTGTAGAAAATGTTTTTTAAAAGATTTTTAAAATACATTTTAAAATTGTTGCTGTTATAATCAATGACCTATGACCAAAACATGTTCAGATTGATTTACATTTAACTTTTTTTATGGCATATTGTGCTACTAACTGCAAAACTTATACTGTAAAAACTCATTTTTTATTTAAAGTGTTCAAATATAAAGACAATATTTAAATTCTAATCAAATATCAAACAAATGATTGTTGCTGAGTATGAAATACGTAAATGTAAGTTTACGATACAAAATGTTTTCTAACTGCAAATACACTTCTTTAAAATTTCACACATAAAATCCCAACTCACCTGTTTTTAGAAGTTTGCACCCCTCTGTTCCTTTTCTTATTAATTTAAACCAACTAAACTCCACACGATCAACATGTGTTTTCTTCTCAAACACCCTTCGTCTCATCATGCTGCTCTAATGACAGTCTGTTTCTTCTTCTCTGTCTTCTTTTAGTTTTTGTTTGCCTATAAGAGCCCCCACACAACTTGAAGCTTCATCAATCCAGCCTCTCTTCACTTGGCTGTGGTGTCCAGTGACTGACTACTCACTGATAACACACCTCATCCTCATGTCAGTAAAACTGTGAACAGGAACTTACAAAAAAAGACCAGTGCAAAAGCACACCATTGTAAACAAATGATTTACAATCAGACTGAGATCCATACTATCACCCTCTTCACATCTGTCTCTTGTTTTCTATCCCCCTCATTTTAAATTGTCAAATAAAAGAAGAGTAAAATGATACAAGGAGGTAAATGAAGAGGAAAGAAGACAAGAGTCAGTAACAAAGAGGGAAGGAAACTAAGAAAGCAAGAAGATAAATATCAGTGTTTAAAAATTAAGGGTTATATAAGAGAATTCTATTTTATTGGGGTTTATATGATTCAATGAAATACTGATGAGCATGGACTGAAAATAATTAATCTTAGGTAAATACATTGATCCAGCCAAAACTGTGGAAGTATATCAAATAAATAGAATAAAGACATCAGCCAGGAAACAAGACAAGGTAAATAAAGAAAGACATAAAAAAGACAACACTGCATTAATGTGAAGAAGGATAAGGCCCAAAATGGACACATTTACAGACCAGTTTATAGAATTTCATTAAACAAAATACAAGGTCTCGATGCCAACTGAAACTAATTACCAAATATATAATCAGACTATACTTGTCCATGTTTTAGGTCTTATTCACACCTGATAGGCCGGTAGACTCGGTTCGATTGGGGACCAAAACTGCAAGCTTTGTTTACATTTTCTGTTGGTGCGGTTTGAATTCACACTGCACTTTCTCAACCGAACTCAACCCAGTAAACAACCTGTTCCCACCCTCACCTGTGGGGGCGCTGCACCAAGAACCACTAAAGCAATCAACATGAAAACCTCAGAAGAAGGCATGGAGCGCAACTTCTTTCTTCACAAAATGTAAACAAACAATAGTAACGTTACATTTTAGGGGTTATGGGGTTTATTTTTGTTTTTGGCAAATGTGCTAAACAAATAGTCTTCAACGATGAGCTCAGCATGAGAGGAAGATGAGACGGAAAAACGGAGAATGTTGTTTTGCACACAAGGCGGCTGAGGCAGCTTCATGTTAACCGAGTAGGAGCACGTCCAGCTCCACAGTCATGATGTCCACCTTATACAGTCGTCCAGCTGGGTATTTACACCATATAAGTAAATTTAATACTGTTATTACTCAGAACGTCATGTGGTATAGTCCGCTTCCTGCTTTTGGAGCGGTCTCTGGTTCGCTTAGCGTTCACACATACAGTCGAACCACACCAGAGTTCATTTCAATCGGACCAAGACCTAGGTTTTCAGGCAGACCAGAGTTTGCTCGGACCAGAGTTCGCTTTTTTGGTCCGAATCAGAGTTCGATTACACATTCACACCTCCACAAACGAACCGGACTTTCCAGGCAAATGAACTAGAGTTCAGTTAAATCGGACTAAACAGTGTAGG